GCTTTTTCTTTTTTTCTGCTTTATTTTTGTTATTCACTGGAGCATTAGAGCAGTTTGGCTACCCAGTGTGGAAAGGACACAGTCTTAGATATATTTGATTACTGAAGAATAATATTTACATCTTTGGGATCACTGGATGCTGACAACTTTTATGGACAGATGAGCAAGATGCTAATGTTCTTGATGAGAGTAATTTCAGCAGCTACTATATTAGTTTTCAAGCCTCAGAAACTGAAAGAACGAGTTCGATGCTGTACGAACGTCATTAGTAATTGATTTCCACTGGTAAAAAAAATCATTATGAGGGTTTGATTTGTTAAGTGTCTGTTGGCAGTTGCCAGTGAGGTTTTACAGTGTGTCTGGAAATAAAAGCACTGATGAGCAAAGTTAGTTATGAGTGGGTTTAAAGCTCCTGCTAGAGGAAGACAAGTATTTGGCAGTTCATTATAATAAACAGCTAAGGGAAGAAGCAAGGTTCTTTCTGTTACTCTATTTTATGTCATGTTTAGAACAGTTGGTAAAATGATGGGAACTGTGACAGGGATTAAATATATTTTGTGTCTTGTGATGTGGGCCTCAGTAGTTCAACAACATCTGATTTGCAGTCAGTACCAATAAAATGAAAAATATGCCTATAGTTTAGAAGACATGCATATTGTAATAAGTTGTCCAACTCTCCCTTTTTTTTTTCCAGGAAAGTAATGCGGCTTGTGCATTGCCTGTGAAAATTCTTTGCAAAGATGAGACAGGACAATTGATTGATATTTCAGAACACCTTATTAAAAGGGGTTTGGCTTTTAGAAACAGAAGGTTTGGATACTTTTATTTTTTCAGACTCTCACATTCGTATTCTTTCAGACTCTCACATTCACATCGTGATAACCTAATAAGTAAAACAAAAATTTGGATTGTTCCCTGCAACATGTAGCAACAGAACTCCATCTTGAGTGAACTTATTTGAGTATAACATTATTAATTGTATCCACTGCACGTTTCAGTTCTCTAAGTTGGTAAATGAGATGGTTGACAGTATTTTAACAATCATTTGCCATCTTTGTGTGTTTGGTTTTTTACTTATATTATTTTATTCTTTTGTACTTGCCAAGTTCTTTATCATTTAATATGTTGATATGATTTGATTGAATCTACTAGAACTGATAAAGCTGGTGTGGCTTGCTCAGTCTCCAAGGAACAACTTAAAGTACATTCAGAGCAAGAGAACACACGACTGGATGGTGGTACTTCAGAAACTGCACATGGAAAAACCAGCGCTGCTCCAGAGGAAAACATCACTGTATCAGAGAGTGAACAAAAATCATGTAAAACATACAAGGCATTGCTTCATTCAGGAATGGATGAAATATATAAATCCCCCATCATACCTGAAGCGAAAATTTTTCAAGCTGTAGTAAGTTGTGTTGGACGTGATGGAACTATTTACGTAATACCAAAATCATTCGGTAAGATTACATAGAAGAAAATAAGGTTTATGTCTATGAATGATAGCTTTGATATATCAGAATATACCAGATACGTGTTCTGGTATACATGTTCTGTATCAGACCACGGTTCTGGAAGATTCCTGTTGGGAGGATTGCTGTTGGGAGGTGATGAGGCCTTTGGCATGGGGGGGCGAGGGGTGCGTGCCTGCACATCCCTTGCTCTGCAGCAGTGGGGAGAGGTCCCGCAGCTTCCCGGCAGAGGACACCCAGATCCCCAGGAGGCGTCCCATCCATAAACCCATCAAACCCACTCTCCCAGCCTTCCACCCGCCCTACTTGCTTCTCTTCTCTAGGCAGTACTGGGTAAAGCAGCAAGTGCTGTATTTTATAATGTTGAGATTGTGATCCATTTTACTAATAATAATGGAGATACAGTCCTAAAGAGTCTCGGAAGTTAGGCTGGTTCTCAGATATTACTGGATTCTTTTCCTTCAGTGTGAGCTCAATACCCAGTTTCCTTGGCCTCTTTATTTCTACTGTGATAGATTGTCTCTATCTTAATATGTTCTGTTTGTACTGTTAGAAAGAGGTACATTTGCATCTGACAGATGCAGTGGCAGTCTTCAGTATCATGGTAGTATATTGTGCTTTAGAGAAATGTTTCCATATGAGAACATTAATTTTTTTTTAACTTATCCAATACTTAAATGTACTTGTACATACCATAAAACTTTGAAATCCAAAGTACAGTAACCCCACTTGCCCAAGACTGTATTCTTCTTGCAGTTGTTGCTGTAAACTGTAGCCATAGCAGAATCCAGGTCTTCTGGACGCCTGTTTTGTGTTATTTCATGGTGTGCTACCACTGTCTCTGGGAATCTGTTGTCTTGTTCATGGAGAGGCTCTTGTATTAGTGCTGCCAAGGTGTCAGTTGCAAAATTTATAGACCCTTCTCTGAGATTACAATCCAGAATTACTAGTGGCTTCACAATTGGAAATGCAGTTTACTTTTTGTTTAAGTAGTAACTTGTTTGCATATGCTAGAGTTGAACATACATATTGTATCAGTGTTAGAAAATATTTTTTGGAGCAGCATGTGTATTTTATGTTAAACATACCTTCATCTGAATCTGCTGGTTTTTAGTGATGGAAATAGTTTGTGCTACTGTGTTACAAACTATTTTGAATTTTTTTTTGTTCCTCTTCCCCCAGAAATTGAACTAAACAAATTGATGACTGAAATACAAAGTAACTTCAAATGCCTTGGTCTTCTGGAACCCTACTGCTGGAAGAAGGGAGAAGCTTGTGTTGTAAGAGGATCAGATACCATGTGGTATCGAGGTAAAGTTGTAGAACTCAGTGGTAGTAGTCTCCAGGTAAGTTTGATTATATGTCACGCGCGTGCATGTGTGTGTGCATAAACATGTGCATGTGTATGTTAAAAAGGGGGGCGGGGGGCAAATAATCTAATCCTCTAAGATACACTTATGATCACATCTTTTTTCGTTCAGCTGACCTGACTATCCAGATGCTCATTCTGCTTAAAAGTATAACTGTCCTGATTTTTACATTTATTTTAAACATTAACTCTGCGTATTTCAGTTGTAACAATTTTTCCCATAGTTTTCCTGGTGATCATAAATGTTCTTAAGTAAAAAGCTACCCTTGATCACCTGTAAGTAATCCCTTTTACTTTTTTTTAGGTTTTTTCTTCTTTAGTTGTTGCTATCGTATGTAGAATGCTTTGAAAGTACTTAGGGTGGGTGGAAGCTAAACAAGGCTGGTGAAGGGTCTAGAGAACAGGCCTTATGAGGAGCGGCTGAGGGAACTGGGGTTGTTTAGCCTGGAGAAGAGGAGGCTGAGGGGAGACAGTATAGCTCTCTACAACTACCTGAAAAGAGGTTGTAGTGAGGTGGGTGTTGGTCTCTTCTCCCATGTAGTTAGTGATAGGACGAGAGGAAATGGGCTCAAGCTGCGCCAGGGGAGGTTTAGGTTGGAAATTAGGAGAAATTTCTTCACGGAAAGGGTGGTCAAGCATTGGAACAGGCTGCCCAGAAAGGTGGTGGAGTCCCCATCCCTGGAAGCGTTCCAAAAACGGGTAGATGTGGCACTTTGGGACATGGTTTATTCTAGTCTACCCTTAATTGGTTTAGTGTGGACTTGGTAGTGTAGGTTAATGGTTGGACTGGATGATCTTAAAGGTCTTTTCCAACCTAAACAATTCTATGATTCTAAACCTATCCCCACCCAAATAAGTAGTGGCTGTCTGTTTTGAATTCTTTCAGCTGCACAGCTATAGAGCTACTTTTTCTAATTAGCAGCTACTCTTATCTAAACTCTTGAGTCTGCTTATGCTTTTTGAATGTAGATGTGCAAGTCTGACACTATCCTAGTTCACAAATTTTTTATTTCTTTCCATTTTAAACTGCTGTAGGTTATTACACAAAAGTTAGGATCTCTTGCAAGACAGGTTTAGAAATTGAACTTCTAATCTGCCATACCAGGTTTTTAATCCTTTCCTTCATTTCCACTTCAACACATCACATACTTATCGGCAAACCATTTTTTTTTTTTCTTCCAGAAAAGTGAATGCTGTAAATGAACGCCTTCTCTTACTAAACTTGACTTAAAAAATAGGAATTATTCCAGGAAAGCTTTTGTTTTCATATAGGTGCAGTACATAGACCATGGCTGCATAGAGAGGATTCCTCAGTGTCATCTGTATCCAACTACATTGTATACTAGTATTCCTCCGTTTTGCATACCATGTCAGCTCTACAAGACAGTGCCAGTGAGTAATGGTAATTTTGAAGACATTTTAGTAGGTAGTTACTCAGATCGATACACTGTTTAGTCATACAAAGGTTGAGACTAGTTGCTGGTATTTTTTCTTGCCTAGGAGGATTCAGAGAATAGCTGATGAGGATCATTTCAGCAAGGCAGTCTTTTATCAGGAAATGCCAGATTGCTTTATGAAGTGACTATGCTTCAAAAGCAGCTGCCATTGGAATTAAATCTTTGCGAGACAGGGCACTGCAGTAGTTGGCAGGATGATAATCTGAAGTGGTAGTTCGTTTTCCAATAGCAGCAACAAGAAGTAAGGCCTGGATTTCTTAATGCAAAATGGCCAGAAAATTGTAAATCTTCAAGTCTTCCAAAAGTGTTTCTATCATTTTGAACTTAGCTATGTAGGAAATGATCTGTTACACTAAACTAATGCAAGTGACTTGTTTTAGGGGTTTTTGTAGTAAGTAATTGATGTGTAAATAACATCTTCACATATCATCACATCTTACTCAAATTTGAATGGTGCATTTAGTAAATGTGAATCACTGAAATTACTAGCTTACTTTTAAACTTATTTTTAAAGAAAACCTTTTTATTGCTGGAAGCAGTTCAGCTGATTAAGAAAAACAGGCTTATAAGCCTACAGGTTGGGAGGCAAACAGATATTGCAGGTAATAAAAGAAGTATTTAAAATATCCTGTGGTTTTTGTTGTCTGTTAAGTTATCTTCGAGTGTAATTCTGTATCTTTGGGTTATTCTGTGGATAATTATACAGACATACATTGTTATGTATATAGTAAAGGTTAGACTTGGCAAGCAGCATGTCTTTCTAAGTCACTTCAAGATCTCAAAATTGCTGGGTGGCTTTGTCACACGGTAAGTTTTAGTGTATCAAATAGCAGATAATGTTTAAACTGTTGTAGACAAATGAAACTAATGATGTGTGTTTTCAAATAAGTTTTTCAACGATAGGCACATATTTTCATCTTACTGTGTTAAGAATAGTAAGAGTATTACTTAGCAGCATCTTAATGTATGGGGTATTCTTGCTTTTCACCAACTAGATTGGAAATTTTTGGCAGCAGGATGCAGTAGATTGCCTTCAAGAACTACTTACAAATGAAGAGGTTGAAATACATGTTCAGGTAGCTTAATTTATTCATAGATGTGGAATGATGCTTTTTGTCCTCTCTTTTTTTTTTTTTTCCTTTTTAAACTTGCATTAAGAGTAATAGGTGGAGTATAGCAGTAAATGTATTTCTTAGAACAAAATCCAAAGCTAAAGTTATTTCTTATTATAGTTTTCATGCCTTAAATGTGTCCTTTAGAGGTATTAATATTTTTTGGTCTTGTTTGTATTCTGTGTTGGCATTCTGACAAGCAACCTGCCTACCAACAGCATAAGTTCTTCTAAATTCAATTTTAAGTGATTAAAATTAATTAAGTATGGACATGCTTAAATTAATATATTAATGTTATAGGGAAACACATAATCTGTATTGTCTGAAAACCTGCAATTTGAGATAGTTTAATTTCTAATGATAAATTGTGAAAGAGAAGGGCTTATTGCTGAGTGAGGAAATATGGGATAATGTTTCGGTGTCAGACTGAGTAGTTGGTGCTGCCATTCCAGAGATACGGGCTCAAGCTGCACCAGGGGAGGTTTAGGCTGGATATTAGAAAAAATTTCGTCATGGAAAGGGTTGTCAAGCATTGGAACAGGCTGCCCAGAGAGGTGGTGGAGTCACCATCCCTGGAAGTGTTCAAAAAACGGGTAGATGTGGCACTTGGGGACATGGTTTAGTCTAGTCTACCCTGGATTGGCTTAGAGTAGACTTGGTAGTGTAGGTTAATGGTTGGACTGGATGATCTTAAAGGTCTTTTCCAACCTAAGCGATTCTATGATTCTATGATCTATTCCCATTGGTGTCATAACTGATGTTAATAGCCATCCTGACTTGTTTTGTATCTTTGATGAATGACTGTGGTGTGTATAGGAATGATAGGTTTGAATTTCCTGGTCACTATTTCTAAAGCCTCAGTCACGCTATTGCTGTTATAATCTTCTTTTGTCTTGCGTAAGTAGGAATTACCAGATGACCCATGGGGCAAATTGTCCATCAACCTGTATTTTGGTGGAATGTCACTTTCTTCCTTCATGGCATACCAGAAGTACTGTGTTGCTGAAGATTGTCAGGACATACCAGAGCTGGTGAGTGGGGTTTTTGGGGGTGATTTGGGGGG